CTTCCCCGCGTGGGGAACACCTGATGGAATTCCTTCCCAGAGTTAACCACCCGTTGGCAGAAAATCCCTTAATATCTTTTTTTCCCTGCCTGCTGGGCTGTTTTGCATCTTCCTGCAGCCTCCTGGGACCCCCCGTGGGCTGCGCTGGCGGCCGGTGAGGCCTGGTCAGCAGCACAAAGGCCTCAGAGATGTTCAGAAAATTGACCCTCTTCTCGTTTGATGCTTGAATGAGAAACTTTAATTAAAGTCCTTCACTGTGTTACCTAGATTTGGATGTCTGGATTAGCCTATGCCGCAGTGTTCGCGTTATGCCAGGGAATTTCTCTGGGGGCAGGGGAGAAGGGCCGGGCTGTGAGAGTTACTTCACAGCATACCCCATCACGTGAGGCTGAATGGGTGTCCAGGGCAGCGCTATGCTTATGTGGTTTAAGCTCAGCTCCGAGAATTTGGCCTGTTCGAGATTCTTCCATATCTCTCTCGTTAGGCAGCATCCGTCAAAGACGAGTTTCCAAGTCGGGTAGAAGATCTGCTGCCAAAAATACTTCCAGCTGGCATGATCAGCGGCCACGTGCTCTAAGAAATAGAAAGCACCTCCCTGGGGAAAACAAAGTCGTCTTAGAGAGCCGCAGTAGGCGCTGGGGTTACCCCGAACTCCATCCCCCCGCTCCAGTACAGGCAGTGCGTGTGCCGTTTGCTCACTCATCAGTATCCTCCCACCTCTTCCCTCCCTGCTTTTTGTGATGTCAGCTGGAATTAATGTAAGCAGGGAACTTGCAGAGATTCAAAAAGCTTGAGGGATGAACTTACTTGATCCTCTTTTATTACAGCAATACTTTGTTGTCTTTTTGTTTCAACTACAGTTGCTAGCATGCTGGTTTTTTTACAAGGAAACTAAGAGAAATGTATAAATCATACTCAAACTCATCAGTTTTTGACAACCCAGAGGACTGTCTTGAAAATGCCATTTTAAAGGCTGAAAGTCTATTGCAAAAATACCCCAACAAACCAGCTTTTTTTAATCTTTAGCTTGATTAGTGGACTGCAGGGGATGAAGGCGTTCAATTAGGCTGTTTTAGTCACACAGGTGGACCAGCCCCACTTCTAAGGGGCTGAAGCAGTTTATTTAAAATGAGGCATTTCAGTCTTAATGAGAGAGCATCCCACCTTCTTGCTCTGAGAGAATCTGCTGTGTGGGGAGGGACAACGCCACAGGAACTCGTTGGGCTTTAAATGATAGACCGCAATTCCCGTGTCAGTGGCAGTTCTAGTTACCCGCTTACGTTATTTTTAGGGCTTGACTTTTACGAGCAGGACAGACCGAGCAGCCTGTTGCTCCTGCCTTGCACCACTCGGCAGTGCGGAGTGGTTGGAGGGCAATAAACTGGGTCTGGTTTGTAAGCTCGAAAACTAGGGGTTTTTTTCTTTTTTTCTTTTGGTTCAGCGCCTCTGGAGGAGGTGATAAAGGTAATAACAAACCCGTTTATGCCGATACTCACTGGTCTGAGCACTCGCAGTGCTTCCTTCAGGGTGCCGTTCACGTTCTGCACTGAGCAGAGGACGAAGGTGCAGATGACGGCATCCACGGAGCCGCTGGGCACCTGATACAGGTCTTCTCCGGCAGCTACTAGGAAACCCTCGTAGTGGATATGCTGGTTCTTGCTGATGCTTCTCAAAAGGCCTTGCTGGAAGTTGGGGTTTATGTCCGTGCATGTCACTTTGCAGCCTGGGGGGTAGAACTGGAAGTTAGTACCATAGCCGGTCCCGATCTCCAGCAGCTTCAGCTCTCCCGAGGGGCTTGAGAAGTCAGATAGATTATGAAATAGCTCCTGCTTGTGCTTCTTCGTTTTCTTTTCGTGAATTCCAGAAAGCTTCTCTAAGAAGAAAGGAAAAAATACCTTCCTAGAGAAAGGCTTCCATATGCCCAGGAACGATAGCAGGTAGATGGGCATGGCAAGCAGCGCCAGGCAGGCCCGGAGGAAGAGGATGGTTGTCTCTGTCATTGCCAGCGTGAGTCAGGGGATCCGTACTGAGCAAAACTCCCTTCTTGTGTGTCCTAGAGCCCTTGAAATTCCAGCGGAGCTGCCTTCATGTGCTTGCCGTGGTCCCCTTGAATTATATTCAGCACCTTGGATTCATCTGGTAGACTTTTCTCAAGCTGATGTTTGAAGTCTGGTCACAGGCAAGGGAAGGGGAGCAGAACTGCATACCAAAGAGTATCCTACATCTAGCTCTGGGAAGAGGAGCTGCCAGCCTGTTGCGTAACTGGATCAACTGGGCAGTGCAGCCTTGTGTGTAACCGCTGGCAAAATGTCATAAAATGCCCTAATTTGGTGTTCAGCGGTTTCAGGTTACAGGTCACAGCTCTTAAAGCAGCCGTGTGTTGTCTTTCGTGAGCTAAAGGAAGTTCATCCGAGCTCTGGATTTGCTGTAGGCATTCCGTGCGGAGTCTGATGAACATCGCAGTGCAAACGCCTGTTTCGGAGTCGGTTGTGAGGGGATGAGCCGGGCAGCTGCTTGCTCCATGCTCTCTGCAACATCACTTTGTAGTCCTTCCGCCTCATGGACACCTGGAATCCTTTGGTGTGGGCTCCTTTGCAGGGAATGAGCTTGCTTTTCGGTAGTTATCCTTTGGACCTTCTATGGGAGTCACGGAACAGAGAGAAAACGATTCAGCAATGGCTGCGTATGGGTTTAGCTAACTTGGTGACACGAACGGTCCCTTCGATGAATTGTGTAAACCCCGTTCGACTTTGCGCTCGCCGGTGCATGTTCAGAGGGCTTGGCAGCAGTGCAGATGAGCCGCTGGCATTAATTGCTCTGCTCCCGATGAGCCTGGGGTAGGGAAGGGGGGACTTAGAGTCCCCAGTAACGGCAAGTCTGGTGTGAGTTGCGCTGGAGGATTTTCTGTTGAGCGATGGGGACTCCCGTTGTCCGATGGGTTACCTCCTCCCTCTAGTGGTAATAAAGCAGGTATAAAATACGGCGGCGGCGTTATTAGGCTGCTTTATTAACGAACTCAGCTGTCCCATCTGCCTACCTCCACCTTGTGGCAGCGAGGTTAGCGCAACAGATTGGAACAGTGGGAATTACTTTGTGTCGAGCTGTTGGATGGGAAGGGAGCACAGAATACAGATATCAGTGCCTTGTTTACCAGTACAATCTCCAGCAGGTTTTAATTCCTTGCTGCTGCACTGCAGGCAGGCACAGAAGAGGTTGAGCAGCAGCCAAGAGAGCAGCGCCTTCGCTTGGTGTCCATGGGGAGTGGAGCTGGAGGATGTTTCTAACGAAACTCCTGGCTTTTAAGTGAGACCTCTTCAAGGTGCGCTCAGGGTTGGAGGGAGAGTAGAAAATGAAGAGTTTAAGCATAGGTAAAACATGACAAAAGGGCTCCAAGGATGTTTTTGATCTAGAAATGCATTTACTAGGTGGAGTGAGGGGAGATTTCTGCCATCTGGTTTAACAAACGCTGATTTTCACCCAGGGTAAAGAGCAGTTCTGTTCTTCGCGTTGTGTGTGGCTGTTTCAAGGTGAATCTGCGCTGGTAGCGGTAGCGTCTAACGGCCAGTGAGACCGATGCCCAGTGGTGGTGTAAGGAGCACTTCCCCGCGTGAACGAGGGCTGTGCTGGCACGGGCAGTGGAACGCCTGCTCGTAAATGTGTTCCAGGGAGGGAAGGCTGAAATGAAAATGCTCATGGTGATGCCGTATCTGTTATGCATACATCCTGTATCGGAAGTGTTGGAGGTTGGCTGTTACTCTCTGCCCTTAGAAAAACGTTAGCCTGCTGCACTCACTTTATCTTCCCTTTCCTCCCTCCCCCCTTCTCCCCAAGGTGCTGACTTCTCCTTTATTTTGTGTTGGACTGAAACACCGTGTCTTCACGTCTGTCCCGCTTGCCTGGTCCCCGTGCAGCAGCTGGGTTTCGGGGCTCTGTCCAGAAAGCCTGGCTAACAAAGGGAAGAACGTGATCCCTGGGTTGAACGGGCTGTGGATGCTCAGGAAGTTTGCTGTACTTCTGTTCGGGGCAGCCACCCAATGTGCAGGGGTGAGAAACCACGCGTGAGGCAGGGAAGGAGTACCACAGGGAGGTCCTGTGTCCTGCAGTGCCCATGCTCAGGCACCTGCAAGGCTGAAGTCTCAGTTACACAGGGAGGCTCTGGCCGTTTGCACAGATTTAGCTCACTCATATGGGTAGGATTTGTGTTGGGTTCAATTTAGACTCTTCCCCAGTTGTTCTCTCTGGAGAAAAAGGTATTGGAAGAACGGTAGGTGACTGTGGTGTTTTACAGGTGTCACCTTAAATTGTAATGAAAACACCTGCTTTAGGTGGGCGAGTTTTAAAGATAAGAGAGAGATTTGCAGAGAATGGCAGCTCTGAATTGTTAATGATTTACCCGTGTTAAGACAGAGTCCCTTCTGCCTCCCTCCTCTGCCTCCACCGTTGCGCTGCAGTAACCCTGCTTATCCAGTACCGCTCTGCTCCTCTTCCCAGCACCTTCTAAGTGGTGTTTTGGGGTCTTCTTTTTCTTTTTGGAACAGCTTTGCTCTTGGGAGTTCTTGCAGGTTGTCCAGCGGCAGGAGCCAGGCGGGTTCGAGTAGCTGTGTCTCACTAGCCAGGGCAATTGGCATCGCCACGCAGGTGCTCCAGCCCTTCCGCCTGCATGGCAGGGCTCCAGGCGTGCTGGAGAGGGAGAGGGGCGGCAGGCCGAGCTGGCGTTTTCACCTGCAGGTGGAGCAGCGCAAAGCAAAACTGCTTGGGGGTGGAGTAGTGGCTATGCTGGTGGATTTTAAACCCCTTCTTGCCTGCTGCAGGTGGTTGCACCCATCCTAAATGTAGGTCAGTACACAGAACTTGGCTTATCACGACACAGATCGGCACAACCCCATCTTGTCAGCCCGAGCACTCCCAAAACCTCCGTCAGGACTTGCTTGACGTTGGTCACGGAGCACAGCGCGGAGGTGCACACCGCCACATCCACGCTGCCGCCCGGTATTGGACACAGATCCTTGCCGGACGTGACTGCTGAATGCTCAGGCTTGAGGTGCCGGTTCTCTGAGAGGCTATCGAGGAGGAACTTGCTGAAATTGGGGTCAGGGTCGATGCACGTCAGCCGGCAGTGTGGTGGATAGAGCTGGAAAGTGGAGCCAGTGCCAGTGCCAAATCCCAACAATATGAGCTAGCCCATAGGGCCTGCGAGTTTTCTGAAATTGCCGGACAGCTCTTGTTTCTGCTTGTAGACCTTGTGGTTGTGGTTGGCCGCCACCCCAGCCATGGTACATGGAGAGGCTTTCTTGGAGAAGGCATCCCGTAAGCCCCAGTAGGCAAGAGCATGGATGGGCAAGAGGGGGAGCAGAGTTCATGACCTGGGGAAGCAGACTGCTCCATCCCTGGAGGCGCCTGCTGCTCTGCCCGCAGCCCTTGCTGCTGCTCTGAACCGGGTCTGTCTGTCTGTCCCGCTGGTCTGGCCCCAAGTGCCCTCTTACAGTGGGGAGCGCTCGAGTGGGGTGGGGAGAGCCAGCCTGGCCTCACAGCCGGCACACAAGGCTCTGCTTACCTCTGAATTTAACGCCTGGACAGAAAGGTTTAACTGGATTGAATCTGAAAGCTCAGATCCTGCCTGCTTCGAGCCTGATACCTGGGAGAAACAACCCTTTCAAACGCCACGAGTGTTTTGCTTCTCCATTCTTTGGCTGCTGTGACATCCCCCCTCTGCGCGGCTGTGGCATGCTGCGCTCCCGCCGTACCTCTCGCCTTCCCGGCACCGTGCAGGTTTGGGTGCTGGCTCATCTTGGGGGTAGCGACGGGTTTAAATGACAGACTCATTCCGCTCCCGTTGGCTCAGTTAGAGCGAAGCTGTGGTTGTTCCAGAAGCAGAGCCACCCCGGAGGCTTGTGGCTGACGTACCCCTGCCCACAGAGCCTGGGAACTGGCGAGGCAGTGCCGAGGTCGCCACGCTGAACGGAGAAGCGAGGGCTGTAAGGATGAAAGAAGGAAAAGGCAGTATCCTTATCAAGCAGGTTTTTGGGTTTTTTTCTGCACCGAGCAGCTGTGTGCTCCTTAAAGAGACAGCACAATGCCAGGGAGTGCGTGTTCAGCTCAAGAATTGCAGAATTATCTTAGTTCTCCTGCCCAAGTTCTGGGTAGTTTTGTTCTCTTTTAACCCCAGGAGGGACAGGCAGGGAAACCATTAGCTGGCATATTTATCTGCTTTAAAGCAGCGTTGTTTTGGAAATCCGTTCAGACCCTGAGAATGCGAGTTTTCAGCGGGCTCCCTTTTGACCTGGGTGGGGATGGTGAACTGGGTGGTCCCAATGGCTGATCGGGGGGTGGATAGATGGGGCAAGTGTGCGAACGTGAGACTTCGAATGCTTGTCAGTACCTGAGGGGTGGGTGCCGAGGGGTCTGGCCTCTTTCCAGTGGTGCCCAGCGACAGGACGAGGGCAAATGGGCACAAACTGGAGCACAGGAAATTCTGTCTTAACATGAGGAAGAACTTTACTCGGAGGGTGCCAGAGGACCGGAACGGGCTGCCCGGAGGGGTTGGGGAGGCTCCTGCTCCGGAGATAGTCAGGATCCACCTGGATGCGTCCCTGTCCAACCTGCTCTGGGTGACCCTGCTCAGGCAGGGGTTGGGTAGACGATCTCCAAAGGTCCCTTCCAGCATTCTCTGATCCTGTGTAACTCTGCATAGGGGTTATGATTACGCTGAACTTCACTCCTCGGCACAGGGTCTCCCCGACCCTGGGTCGCCTCTGTCAATTAGGAACTTCTGTTATCGCTCTTCAACCTCTGAGGGTGTTGACCTATTTATTTCTTTAAGTGCCTTGCTTGAAGATACCTTCCACAAACCGTAATAACACCTTTGGGGCTCCAGAATGTCCTTGAAGTATTTCTGGTGCCTGGCCTGCCCCAAGGGGACCCGTGTGCCCACAGCTGCCAGCAGCTCCGTGGGTGCCCTAGTTGGAAGCCCGGGCACGCGGCTGCGTTTCCGTCGGGCTCGCCGTGCCTCGCTGCCTGCCTCGTCCCTTCAGCTCTGCCTGGGCACAGCTCTGAGCGCTTCAAGCTGCCCTTAGCTGGGCAGAGAAGGTGTTTGTTCTTACGTGACCTAACTCTCATCTTTGGACACCTCAACACTCTGTATTTGGGAGTTATAGCCCATTTCTTTCTTATTTTTGGTGAAATTCAGCTTTTTTAATGTGTGAGTGCTTTTGGTGGGTTGTGGCTTGACAGATGCCCGTTTCTTAGGCTGGGCACCTTGTGTTACAGTAGGGTGGTCCCATGAAAGTCAGCGATGTACAGGGAGGGCAGATTTAGCTCCTGTGTCGTTTCTAAAGCGAGATGAATGCGTTCCTCGGCACAGAGCCGGGCCCTGCTAGCTCGTCTGCTCCGCACACGACTCCTACAGCCCTGCTCAGCGGACGGAGATTTACAGTTCTGTGAAGGGGACGTTTCTGCAAGGTGGTTTTTTACGTTTGTTTTTCCCCTAGAACAGCAACCCAGTACGGTGTTTCAGGTGGTTCTGTCAGCAACACCGGCACAGTCTTACTGTGAGCAAGAACTATTTAACAGTAAAAATTGATGCTAAAACTGCAGTCATAAATTCCCGGCGTAACATGGGTGTAAATTCAGTGCATAAAGGAGTTGTCTCTCTTAACGGCAGGAGGGTAACGGGTCAGTTATTAGCACGTTCTTATTCACTATTTTACGGGAAGAACCAAAAACCTGCATCTGCGTCAGGGCTGGAGCTGAGGACGGTGTTGTGTAGCCTTCCACCTCTGCGGTGAGGCGTTTGGGGAGCTCCAGAGCTCCCCGCCAACCGCCCGGTGCCGAGGAAGGAGCGCTTCCGTCACCCAGGTCGCGATTTGAAGGAAGGAGCCAGGCCAGCGCCCAGATCTGCCGGACACGGAGCATCCCGGGGTGTGACACAAATGTCACCTGGGCACTTGTGGATTTATTTTGTTCAGTCTTCTTGGTACCACAGGGTCCGGGGATGAGGTCCTGGCGCTCTTTGTGGAGGTGCAGTCTGTGATGCGCGTGGCCGTTGGAACCTCTAACTTATCCCAAAACTAAAACAATGGGAAACAAAGGAAGAAGAGGCGTTTGGCTGGTGGGAAGTTCTCCTTTTGCTCCGTCCATGACGTGTTCCGGATCACGCTCCGCGCGCGCTGGTGACTTTGGCGCTCCCGAGGGCCGTTCGTCGTGGCTCGGGCCGTGGTGAACTGCTGACCTCAGCAAAATGTGGCTCTAACAGTTGGTACTCGTCGGTGCTGAGCCCCAGCGGTGCCCGGGCGCTTGGCACCTCCCGCTGCCCGGGGTTTTTCCACCGGAACCGCGATGGTTCCCGGCGCCTGGGCCGGGGCCGATGCTGGGTGCCGGTCCCGGCTGGGCA